GGTTTTGCCTACCACCTGTTCCCACGCAGCCGCCTGGAGAAAATGGCCCCTTTCCAAGTGCCAGAGATCCTGCGCACACCCCTTGAGAACCTGGTGCTGCAGGCTAAGATCCATATGCCCGAAAAGACGGTACGTGGGACAGGGCCCAGGCACAGGATAGTCTTAGAAGGGGCAGGGGGAAGCAGGGTCATAGGGGACTCTGGTTTATCCTTGTAGGCAGTGGAGTTCCTCTCCAAGGCTGTGGACAGTCCAGACATCAAGGCAGTGGACGAGGCTGTGATCTTGTTACAGGAGATTGGTGAGTGGGAGCTCGGCTGGGCAGCAGAGTAGCTGTGAGGGGTGAGGACTGACTTTTGAGCCGTTGCAGGGGTGCTGGACCACCGAGAGTACCTGACTACCCTGGGGCAGCGCCTGGCCCACATCTCTACCGACCCCCGCCTGGCCAAGGCCATAGTGCTCGCTGCCATCTTCCGTTGCCTGCACCCACTGCTGGTGGTGGTTTCCTGCCTCACTCGGGACCCCTTCAGCAGCAGCCTACAGAACCGGGCAGAGGTGGATAAGGTCAGATCCAGCCCCTTCCCTAAGCTTCTAGCTCCCCCTTTTAACTCTCCACCACCTGCTGTCCTGAGGGGGCCACCTCCACCCCCTCTCCTGTGACCCTGGCCCCTCTTCTCCCCTCCCAGGTAAAGGCACTGTTGAGTCATGACAGTGGCAGCGACCACCTGGCCTTTGTTCGGGCTGTGGCCGGCTGGGAAGAAGTGTTGCGCTGGCAGGACCGCAGCTCCCGAGAGAACTACCTGGAGGAGAATCTGCTCTACGCCCCCAGCCTGCGCTTCATCCATGGTCAGCTGGGCCTGCACCTGATCTCTAGAGCCTGCCCACCCCCTCCCACACCCATTGGGCCCATGCTTGGGGCCCTCGGGTCACCCCACACTTTGTTTTCCCAGGCCTCATCAAGCAGTTCTCAGAGAACATTTACGAGGCTTTCCTGGTGGGGAAGCCCTCAGATTGCACCCTGGCCTCTGCTCAGTGCAACGAGTACAGTGAGGAAGAGGAGCTGGTGAAGGGTGTGCTGATGGCGGGGCTCTACCCCAACCTCATCCAGGTGCTGGCTGTGGGAGGAGTTGACCAGTCCCAGCCTCCTCTACCCCCAGCTCCTATTCAGCCCCATCATGTTTTCTTCCATGTAGGTGAGGCAGGGCAAAGTGACCCGGCAGGGCAAGTTCAAGCCCAACAGTGTCACATATAGGACCAAATCAGGCAACATCTTGCTGCACAAATCGACCATTAACAGGTTGGGGGCCAGGCAGGGCTGGGTTGTGGGGCAGGTAGGGCTAGGAAAGGCCAGAAGGGTGGCATTATCCAGCCCTCCGTGTTCCATAGGGAGGCCACACGGCTGCGGAGCCGGTGGCTGACGTACTTCATGGCCGTTAAGTCCAATGGCAGTGTCTTCGTCCGGGACTCCTCCCAGGTGCACCCACTAGCTGTGCTGCTACTGACAGATGGGGACGTCCACATCCGTGGTGGGTACTTGTAAATTTCCCCACTTTGATGACTCAGGGTGGTACATCTTCTTGGGCCAAGCCTCACCTTGGCCCCTACCATCTCTCCCTTCCCTCAGATGATGGGCGCCGGGCCACCATCTCACTGAGTGACAGTGACCTGCTGAGGCTGGAAGGTGACTCGCGCACTGTGCGGCTGCTAAGGGAGCTACGGCGGGCCCTGGGCCGCATGGTAGAGCAGAGCCTGCGCAGTGAGCTTGCTGCACTTCCACTCACTGTGCAGCAGGAACACGGGCAGCTACTTGCACTACTGGCAGAACTGCTGCGTGGGCCCTGTGGCACCTTTGACGTGCGCAAGACAGCTGATGACTGAGCCCCGCTTCCGCCGGGGCTGTGTACAGAGTGCATATGTTTATTTAAAATAAAGTTCTATTTATCCCTTGTGAGCATTGCTCTCTCTGGGGTCCTCTCTCAGGGCCTCAGCACACTGGGCTGTAGGCCACCCTTAACAACTGAGACGGAAAATCAAAGTGTGGCAGGGAGAGGATGGGGATGCTTATTGCTGGGGGACAGAGCCCATGGTCTTAGCGGGGAGAAAACACTTTAGGAACCGCCTTGTTCTGAGTTTTTGAACCACCAGTGCTCTTGTGCTCTGTACCAACTTGAACTTCTTGTGCCAGTTCCTGTCTTTTGGGATCGCTGCTCCTCCTGGGTCAACCTTTAGGATATCTGCAAAAGTCTAGGTTCTACCTGCTGCTCCTCGTACTGACCTTCAGGGCTGGCTGCCTTCACCATGGGCAGCCAGTCAGAACTGTCACTCCTTACAGGTTTGAGCAAAGTACGCTGAGCAGCCCCCTCCCTAAGCAGTGGTCCTGGGTGTGGATTCTCATTGGTCCTTACCCCAGGCCAGGGTACATTGTGGAGAGAGTGAGTTAGGCAACCGAGGCCACCCGGACCTTAACCCTCAAGGGTCTATTCAGCAGCTTTTGCCACAAGTACAACCAGTATGTACCCTTGATCACATCTGCAGATTTAGAACTGAAGGGCTAAGGTCATCAAGACTACCATCAGTTCCTCTGTGAGAGGACTAGCCAGGAACGTTCTGGATGCTGGTGGTGGAGGCAAACTAGGATGTGGAAGAAGGAAGCACAGGGCCTGCCGGGTGGGACATCACGCAGCTTTATTTAGTCTTAATGTTTACAACAGGATCAGAGATTGACGAGGGTGATGGCCATGCCATAAGCAAGTTAGGAAATACAGAAATAGCCAACCCAAAGGGCTGCAGAATGGCACACGTTGCACAGGGGCTTGTAGGAAGGTACCCTCCCTCCCCCATCAGGACAGCCTTCTCAAGGCTCAGCTGACCTTTCAAAAGAGCTGTGAACAGTCATCTAGAGAATGCTCCACTCGCGTCACCACATCCCAACCCCAGCCTTGGCTAAACCAGTGCAAAGACCCTATTGTCAGCATCCTTGCAGACCAGAACCTTTACAGCCTGCACCACTGCCGCTGTGTCAGCCCTCCTCCCAACTGCTTCCTCCTGCTGTCCAAGCCCTGGTGCCCTCACATCCCTGGCAGTTACCACTCTGCAGTCTCTGGGGAGGTAAACCTTTCCCTGGCTCTGATGACACTCTTCCACATGACACCGCCACCTCAAATTGCTTGGTATGTGCTTGGAGAGCTGCTGATACAGTGCCAAACCTCTCCAAGGATAATTCTAAGAAATGGGAAGAAACTGCCAGGCCCAGGAATGTCTTCCCTATACACAGAGGTCAAATCTGAACCTAAGTTAAGACCTCTACCTTCTCCACTTCTAAGGGACGCCAGAAACGGGGCAAGGCCGAGGGGAGGGCCTCCTCAGAGGCAGATCTGCACTGCAGGAAATGCTTTTGCAGAGGAGAAGCCCGTGAACACTCCCAGGCCATTTCACTACAAACTTACATTTTAATCCTTTATTAGAAACCATGCAAACTTTAATACAAAAAAATACAAGTGCAGTAAGAGTTTTCATGTCAATACAATTACCAAGATTTCCCATCACTGCAGCCACCCCCAAGACCAGGCCCAGCAGGGATACCCCTCCCACAGGTCAGCCTGAGCCTCATGCCTTTATTTTAAATTTCCAGACCTGATTCCTCATTATTGCCATGAGCTCTGGACACTTCTGGCTCCCTTAATGAGGGACTGAGTGTTCTAGGCCTAAAGGTGCAGGCCTGGAGGATTTGGGGGTCGTTGGCCCTTCCCTGTTCCTCCAGCTCTGGCCTTATTTCTCCCACCAGATCCCAGGGAACAAGATAGAGATGCCAAAACCAGCCTCTTGGTTAGAAGAGACAAGCAGCATACACACACAATGCCAACACAACCAGTCCACACTCTTGACCAGTCCCTAGTGTGTCCCACTGTTCAGCAGACGAATGCCCCACCACCTCCCCTTCCCCGCCCACCCTTCTCCAGGACCCAGACTGCTCAAGCAGGAATGGCCCATGCGGTGGGGCCTCAAGGCCTCACATCCCCTCCTGGGTGGAAGCTTATGGATCTCCCCTCCCTCTTTCCTTCAACACCTACTGAGGACTTTCATTTAGACACAGTATCGATCTGCAAAACTACTCCACCAGTTTTTAGTTATTAGAAACAAACAAAAGAGAAAATGAATAAAAGAAAATTCTGATAGCAGCTGGGCAGGTATGGAAAGCAGCAGGGCCAGGCAGAACTGACCCCTAACTAACTTGGGGCAGGACAGCAAGAAGGAGGTTGGCACCACCTGCATGATGGGTGTCCCTGCGGGGCTAATGGGAAAGGCAGTGGCTTAGTGGGTTACAGGGGAGGCAGTCAGAGGGCCCACTACACAGATCCACCTTCATTCTTCCTCTAGGTGGACCCAGGCATGGGGGAGGGGGCAGCGGCATGTCAGTTTCTCTGGGGTTCAGTCCAAAAAACCCAACAAACACAAGGTTGGAATCCGTTCCTGCCTCCCAGACCTCTCAAGATCCCAAAATAGCCTCATCAACCATATCCCCGTCCCAGCCTCTTCCAGGGAGCAGTGGTGTGGTGTGGGGACAGGAGCAAAGCAGGGAGCCGGGCCCAGGGGATGCAGTGGAAGGGGGTGTGGCGGTGGGATTGCTGCTGCCCAGCACCCACGTAGTCACACAGCTAGTGGGCAATCTGGGAGAGGGAGCCAGGGGCCCGGGTGCCTGAGGTGGGGCCGCCAGGGAAGTGGGGGGCCCGAGAGACAATGTCAGCCCCATGGTCAGTGCGGGCCCTGGCATTTGCCCGGAACGTCAGCCTGTAGGTCTCAATCTGCAGTGACACGGGAGGAGGGTAGGGAGAGGGCAACAGGGGAGACAAGAGGAGGAACACAGGGGACGGAAGACGAGACCAGAATGTCATCGTTAGATGCCTGGAAAATAAAAGGTGGTTTCATTAAAATTCAGGTCACACTCTAGTCAACAAACAAAGGAGTTTCAATTTGCGGCCTGTGGCAGGGCCCCTGGCTGGCCCTTAGGCCAAGCCCAGCCACTTACTTGTCTCCTGGATCTGGCTGTCCAAGGTCTGGGCCTCCCTTTGGTCACCACCCCCCGACAGGGTGGTGTGGCCACTGAGGCCACTGGCCAAAGTGGGGGTGGCAGCTTCAGGCACTGCCTCAGGGATGGCTGGCTCCTCCCCAGCAGGGGGGCCTGGACTCGGAAGGGCCTCGCTGCTACCGCCCTCAGTCTACAATGAAACAGTGGGGGAGACAGTGCAGGGTCAGTCGGGGAGGGAGTGGGATGGAGTGACAATGGATTGTACACGAAGCCCCCACCCTGCCACCCTGCACCCACTGGATTAAGGCCCAGTCATCAGGAGAATGTCAACCTGTTGGGTCCCTGCCTGACCCCAGCCACCTGGTACAAAGCAGGAGCACAAGGCTCTTGGAGGCGAGTGCAAAGCTGGTCTCAGTGGGCAGCCCCCTAGCAGAGAGCACACTCTCTAAGCTGCTTCTGCGAAACACAAGGCTCTGTGAAGCCTGTGTGGTAAGAGAGCCAGGCCTCTCCACAAGGCTAGTACCAAACAAAACAGTAGCTATAACAATATATTTAGCAATAAACCTGAAGGCCAATCTCAGACAATGGGACCGGACTTCGTTGGGAAGAAGGGATGCTGTGGGCTAGTTAGGAAACCCATGCCCCCTCCACTGCCATCAAGTTGATTCCAACTCATAGCAACCCTGTAGATAGAATAGAACTGCCCCATAGGGTTTCCAAGGCTATAAATTTTTCTCCCTCCGAATGGCTTGTGGATTTGAACTATCAAACTTTTGGTTAGCAGCTAAATATTTTAAGTACAGAGTTACAGAGCTCCTTTAGGGAACTCTAGGAGCTTGAATCAGCTCTCAGATTAATGAACAGCATCCTCAGAAGGTGTTGGGGGCACAAACCAAGAAACCAACCAATGTCCTGAAATCTCTGACTGAAGAATCCCAGAGCACCTCCTGCACACAGTGTGCTCCAGCTGGTCCTGAGATGCTTCCTCAGTAATGCCTGGGGCCCCTGCCTGATCATCTATCTGTTCATATGCCTGCACACTGATGCCTCTTCTGTGTGGGCCACTATTCAGGGGCCTGGACACAGGGGAAGGAGTAAGAAGGTAGCTACGGCAAAGGATACAGGTAAGAAGATATGATGAGCACGGAAGCACCCAGGGAGACATTCAAGGCCTGGGGGTTTCCCAGGAGGACAAGGACATCTGTGAACAGTGAATATCCAGTGTGAGCAAAGCAGAGAGAAGGAATAATGGTGGGAGGCCACTGGTGACTAGAGAGGCCTTGTTCTTGTTGTTGTTATATGCCGTCAAGTTGGACCCGACTCATAGTGACCCCTCCTTGGGTTTCTGAGGCCATATCACTACGGAAGTAGATTGCCCAACCTTCCTTCCATGGAGTGGCTGGTGGGTTTGAACCGTCAGCCTTCTGGTTAGCAGTCAGATGCCTTAGGCACTATGCCACCAGAGATCCCAGAGAGGCCTAGGCCCCACGATATATGAACCATTTAGGGTTCAATCTTCAATCCAAAAGGAGACAATGTGGACATGAGACATTTAATCAGAGTTGGGAAAGGAAAAAGGTTCTGTATTAGAAAAATAGGTCCAGAAAGGGAGATAATGGGAATAAAGAAAAAGCACCAGATCTGGGGACAGAAAGGCTCAGGCCTGAATCCTGGGCTACACTCTCCGGCCACAGGCAAGTGACTAAATTCAAGTTAACTCCCAGCTGAGATAGAGACTCAAATCACAACAGACTAAAGAACAGCATCCTCACAAGGTGTTCAGGGCATGAACTCAGAACCTAAGGACTGCAAAACTGCTCACTGAAGCTCAGCAGGGTTTAGATCGGTGTCCTGACAGAACAGGACAGTGGATGGGCTGGGGTCCACCAGGCTGGGTGATCAGATGCAGGAAGGAGGGCCCAGAGCAGCTACCTCACGCCCTCCCCACTCACCCTTCCCTCAGCAGCTGCAGCTCTCCTCATGCTTGGAAGCCTGCCAGACGCTGCCCCATGGGCCCTACCCACCAATGCCACAGAACAAAGGACAGACAGTGT